TTTGAAGCCCAAAGAGGGTGGAGCCGGCCGTAGCCATCTTGGCAGCACGTCACTCCCGGATAATCGAAAATAGGCAAAGCGGCAGGACGTGGGTGGAGCTGAGGTGCCTGGTTGCTGAAACCACACCCGCCTAGCTCGACATGATCAAGTTAGCTCAGGCTAAGAAGCTAATGCTATATGCTACTTTTTTATACAGTCTATGGTTTCAGCCTACAGCTAATCACAGTCTGTCGGATTCTGGAGTGTAGTCAAGTTTTAAATAAAATTATAAATAATAAATAAATTATTTTAAATAAATGAATAAATTAAATTATATTAGAATTTAATTCACCGGAAAAAATGGAGCCCAGACTTCTTGGACGGTCTGTTAGTACAATTAACTGCACAGCAAGCCATATTATTTGATAATTGTATGAAATAATCCCGAAAAAAGCACAAACACGGCAGAGATGCCAAGATCAGCGGCTGGAATTAGCTGAGGTGATGTGACTGCTAACAGACAGCAGACAAACGGCTAGTAGTGACAACCGCTGCAATCCACCTGTCACTCAAGTTGCCACGGTCTTAATTATGCAGAACTTTAAGGATTTATAGATTTTAAACGGATGAGTTATAAAAAAATTCACCCCCCTCACAGTTGTCATGAAAGGCAAAATTAGCTATATAGACCAAAACCACTTTTTGTACCAGGCTGTAAACATTTTTTTTTTCTGCTGTAAAGTTGGGCGTTTTAACATGGGGAGTCTATGGGACTGACTCCCTTTTGGAGCCAGCCTCTAGCGGCCAGTCGATGAATTGCAGTTTTAGTCACTTCCGTGTTGATTTCACAAGAGAGAGCGGGAGGTTGCCGCTTGGTTGTATATGATGCGTCTCCGCTGTTGGTTGTATTATTGGTGAAGTAAATCCACACTTTGCTGTGTAAACTTGGGGATTTTAACATGGGAGGTCTATGGGATTGACTCCCTTTTGGAGCCAGTCTCTAGTGGCCAGTCGATGAATTGCAGTTTAAGTCACTTCCGTGCTGATTCAAGAGAGAGACCGGAAGGTTGCCGCTTGGTAAAAACGTACTGTGGCAGTACTGTGGTACAGTGACGGTATCAGATGGTAATTCCATGTTACTAAAATTAATTATTATTGGAAATACCTTGGAGTACCATGTAATTACCATGGTATATTTTCTTGTAAATGATTTACGGAGTACAAAAAATTTGAAATGTCCTGTTGCAAATGAGTCTCTGTATGTAAACATGCATGCATGCATTTGTCAAAAAGGATTGCACATTTTCGCAAAAATGCTCATAATTACTATATTTTCTGAATACAGAGCAAAAGGTACCACCAAGCTTTGACTTGCCTCTTAAACCAGTGACTGTGACTGAGGGTGAGACACTTACCCTCAGCTGCCATGTACGTGGAACTCCTCCTCTCAAGATTCAGTGGATGAAGGACAGGCAGGAGCTTTCTTCGTCTGAAAATACTAAGATTACATTTGTTGATGGCACTGCCACATTGGAGATGATCCATGTATCTAAGGCAGATACTGGGGATTATCTCTGCAAAGCAACCAATGAGGCTGGTAGTGAATTCTGCAAGTCTAAAGTCACTATCAAAGGTATTTTATGTGTGTGTGTGTAAGGAACATAATGTTTTTAATGTCCTTGGTAATTCTTTCTTTTTTTTATTTGCTTCATCCTAACCTTGACATTCTGTTGGCTGTTTGCCAATATTAGAATCTTCTAATAATTATTATTCTTTCATTAATCTAATTCTGTCTTCTGTTTCTTTCTTGGCCTGACAGCAGATTACTTTTGTCAGGGCAAGTACTTGCTTGTCGTTTACAAACAGGTCTCAATGATTTGTTTTGGCCAAATCTGCTTCTTTGCAAATGTTTCTTTGCCATTCTTATTCCTGCAGCTGTGCTTATTGAAAAAGTGAAATGGGTAATGTGTTTTTGTTGTCTAAAATGTTTTAGGCCTGAATCTTGAATATGAAAGTGAAAATGTATGTATCTCACTTCAATATTCCATTAAAAGTTTCAGAGAAACCAGGAGCTCCTGCCCCAGCACAGGCAGCCCCTTCACCACCTGAAGCAGTTAAAAAGTTGGACAACCTCTTCTTCATTGAGGAGCCAAAGAGTGTCCATATCATTGAGAGTAAGTTATGCTCCATTTCATTTTTTAGGGGTGAATCAGTGTTGGGTGTAACACGTTTCTAAGTAATTATATTACTTAACCACTGAAAAAAGGAAAGGAAAGGATTACTGTTCATTTTTAGGTAATTTAATTACAGTTACTTATAAAGTATTTGCGTTACAGTTTTAAATCAATATTGAATTTGAAATCTAAATGTATCGTCTAAAGGTAAAACTGAATGCAGCGTCTTTAACCCTCTGCGCGCCAGAGCGTTCACTTGCAGTTTTTCCTGATAAGAGAGTAAAGGACCTAAAATACCCAGATACAGATAAGACTAAAATCAATCAAATCTATAAAGGTTCTACTTTTATTTGTGTACACTGACCATAACAACAAAACATTGTGCTTTTGTTAAATAAACAAAACAAACAGGGTGCGCTTTCTGCTGTTTTGGTCTCCGCGAACGTCTTTCTGAAACGCGCCACAAAAACGAACGGAAACTCTGCGAATACTTCACACACAGATGTGAGAAATATGTCTATAGAAAACTTGAAGTGTCTACTTTTAAATGAACCAATTCTAATCGAAAACGAATATTCTCTGATTATGTAATCCGTATGAAACTAAAGCGAGGTACAGTCTTTCCTGTCTCAGAGCTCATTATCTGCAAACACCCTCATCACCTAAATACAAAACCATAGATTAAAAAAAAAAAAGATTAATCTACTTTTCATTGTTTTTGGAAGAAGACTTGAGGAATAAGCCGGAATTTACTTCAGCGCGATCTGAGTGTGATCTGACGCGGCTTTATTCAGCGGAGGAGATCATTTCTGTAATTTATTCTTACTTACATTAGTTAACGTGTTATTTTTTTACATAAACTTGAACGCATTTTACTAGTTGGGCTTTTCCTAAACTGTCTTGCCAAAATGTGTGAAAGCGAGTAAAATATGCTGAAATATGATATGCGATTCATATATACAGGCAACTTGTAGGCTAACATATAGGCTAAATGTCGTATGAAATGAGGATGTAAATATAATATTGATGTTTATAGTGTGCAAAGCAATAAGAATTTAGTTTATAAAATATCAGAGTACAGACAAAGCATATGTGCATGAATGACCGTACAAAATCGTGTTTTTTTGTTAGGAGTGGACAAAATTAGTATTAGTGACTGCTAATGTTGTATACATGTACAGTATGTCAGTTTGTATGAAATATGGTACTAATTGCTTTGAAAAGATTAATTCTTACAGCTTGACACATGTAGGCCTACCCCTGGTTTCACAGACAAGGGTTAAGCCTAGTCTCAGACTAAAATACATTTCTGAGCTGTTTTAACTGAAAGAAGCTTGCACTGACATACCTTAAAATATGTCAGTTCAATTGTTTTACTGTATCTCAAGATGCACCAGTAATGTTTTCTTCTGGCACATTTATAAAAGTTACTTAAAACGTTTCTTTTCATAAGCTTTTTTGTTATTCAGATATTTTGCAGAGTAATTCTATTTGTTAACCAAAGAAGCTTACATTTAGTTGTTTTAAAGCTAAAAGGCAAAACTTTTCCATGTTTAACTCAAACTGAAAGAATTAAGTTTCATTTTTATGCATCAAGGTTTATAGGGATTTTATGATGTAATTAACGATTCGAATAATGAAGTTACTTATTGAGTAATTAAGTTACTTTTCAGACAGAGTAATTAGAAAAGTAATTTAAATACAACATTGATGATGTAATTAGTAATTAATTACGGTTACACTTTATTTTAAGGTGTCCTTGTTACAGTGTAATTATACATTTAAGTACTAAGTAATATTAATTAACTACATGTACTTACTATATGGTTAGGCTTAGGATTAGGGTTTGGTTTAGGGTTACTTGCGTGTAATTAGGCATAATTAATTGTTATTACAATAGTAAGTACATGTAATGTAAAAAAAGGACACCTTAAAATAAAAGGTGTTACCTTAATTACTTTTTAAAAGTAACTTACCCAACACTGGGGTGAACTGTATTAAAATGCAGAAGAAAGTTTTATTGATGCTATGTTTAATTTATGTTTTTGCAGAAGGTACAGCTACCTTCACTGCTAAAGTTGGTGGTGATCCCATTCCCAATGTGAAATGGATGAAGGGCAAATGGAGGCAAATGACTCATGGTGGTCGCGTCAGTATTGAACAAAAGGGCCAAGAGGCCAAGATGGAGATCAAAGAGGTGACCAAATCTGACTCTGGTCAGTACAGATGTGTTGCTTCAAACAAACATGGAGAAATTGAGTGCAGCCCCAACCTGAATGTTGATGAGAAGAAAGAGACCACTTTAGAAATGGTGAAACTGAAGAAGTGAGTGTCTGTCAAGTTGCAAACCATCCTCAAGGACCCCCCTTGACCAACATTAGTTACAGGCATTTTAATTTAAATTATTTGACTTAATGAATGTCTAAATATGATTATTTTTATTGTTATAAATGATAGATTGTAATTGTAATAAATAACTAATGGGTCTGATTGTTATTGCTCCATTTGTGCATATTTAAAAAAAAATGTTAATGAATTTATGTCATTATGCCAATTATGCCACACTATGTAAAACACTGATTGAGATGATAGCTATACAAGATTGCTTAAATTGTGTGCAATATTTTTTTTTAACAGAACTCCATCTAAGCAGAAAAGCCCTAAAGAGGAAAAGGATATTGACATTGTTGAGTTGCTTAGAAATGTTGATCCCAAGGAGTATGAGAAATATGCTCGCATGTATGGCATCACAGACTTCCGGGGTCTCCTTCAGGCTATTGAGTTTCTGAAGAAGGAAAAAGAACACGAAAGTGGAAGACCGGTAAGATTGATTCAGATAACAGTACAACAGCATCATATAGTTCCCTTTAGAAGATAAGACCAAGCACACATTTAGTGATGTGTTTTTATGAAATTTTGTGTTGATTGAAATTAGCAAAGTGCACTGTAACCTTAAAGCAGCACTATGTAACTTTTGGCGCTCTAGCGGTTAATAAACAGAACTGCACACATCCCGTGGAAGAACATTCCAACTGGAGCTACTTCTCTTAAGTTTATGTCTATGGCGATTCACGCAGGTATGTGTTACTCCGCAGCGGTGACAACCCGACCAGGCTACAATAGTCCAATATAAGTACTTATTATAAGTGTACCGTAGTGATTCGGAATAAGACAAAAACGCGGTTTGGAAGATGAATTCATGATGTACTCGCTCATTATATACATTTAGCAAATTTTGAACACAGAAAAAGTTACATAGTGCTTCTTTAAGCTTTTAATAAACACTACTTTGACACATGATAATATTCCTCTTAATTGATAACGTTCAAAGTTTTACTTAAATTTGCCAAATTTGCCAAGTGGCAAAAATCTAACAAAAAATGTGGTCAAGGAAGGTTCTAGTGACATTTACCTTTCAGGAACTCACCTTTCAAGCCAGGAATGAGAGTAAATTATATAAATTGTTTAATTGCTTGGATTTATTACATTTCAGGAAGTGGAAAGTGGTGCAAGAGAGTCTGAGGAGGATTTGGCTAAACTTGTTGCCGATTTGCAAAAGAGGATGGAACAAACTGAGGTTTGAAATCTAATTTTGTTATTTGTATTACATAAACTCTTGCAGACAGCAAAAATCAAAACTTTATTTTTTATTTATTTAGGAAAATAAGACTTAAATCAGCCAGTGCTTTATAAACACTGTAAAAATACATGTAAAAACACGAATGTCATTGTATTGTATAACAAAGCATCAAACCAAGTGGCATATGTTTTAAAGAATTATAGCACAAGCATACGTAGTGATAAGTGCATTTAGACACTTTCTGGTTGTCATGCTTTAGTGAAAGATGTCTATAATGTTACAAACTACACCTGTGGTTTATTTGCTAGGACACATATTAGTTTTGTGTAAGTTAGGCTGCCTGCAAGTGCACCTGGGAAGCCCGTACCTCAGAGTTGGGCATTTGTTATTATGAAAAGTTGGACAAATACAGAAGTATCTTACTAGGTATAATGTTACACAATATTTACAGTATGTTTTATACTGTAAATATTATGTAATGTTATACCCAGTTCTGAAAAGAAAATCTTATAATTATCATTTATTTCTGCATGGTATCTTCAAAACATTACATAAAGCAACAGTCACAGTCAAAGGAGTGTGATTGAAGCTCTTTCATACGTAGTGCCATATTATTATTATTAAAAAAGAGTGTAAGAAATGTAAAATAGCTATGCAGAATCATTACCATTCACAACGAGGCCCCTTACAATGTCACAAGTCGGCAACTCGGGTATTATCTAGAATTCAGTTTGCTAAATGCAAAAATCTACTTTTTTCAACTTTGGTTAATGTCTAGATATTATGCAAATACTTTTTATAACCACTGTATGTCATTTACAGTGTGTTCTTTTGTTTTCTATGCAGCCTGTCACTGTGGTACGTGACATCACGGACCAGACAACTACTGTTAAGAAGGAAGCTGTGTTTGAATGTGAAATCAAGATCAACTACCCCGAAATCACACTGTCCTGGTACAAAGGAACCCAAAAACTTGACAGTAGTGACAAGTATGACATCAAAATTGTGGGTGATCGTCACATCTTAAAGATCAAGGATTGCCAGATGAGAGATGAGGGCAATTATCGTATTGTGTGTGGCCCACATATCTCCAGTGCCAAACTGACAGTGCTGGGTGTGTAGCAACATCATTTGATCACTTGAAGCCCTAAACTATATCCTATACTCTAAGTTTTTACAATATTGACCCTTATTCTTTCTGCAGATGCTGAAGTGGAACAGCGTATGCAGGATGTGGCTGGTAAGGAAGGCCAAACTTGTGCATTGACTTGCCAGTTCTCTGTACCTAATGTAAAAACCCAGTGGTTTAAAAATGGGAAGCTTTTAGAACCTCACAGCAGATACACATTTGCTGTGGCAAATTACACTCAGAAGCTCTCAATCAAAGATGTTAGACCTGAAGACCAAGGAGAATATACCTGCAAATACAAAAATCTTGAAACGACTGCAAATCTTTGGATCGAAGGTTTGTATAGATTCACTGAACTGTCAGACTTACGTTTACTGTAAATGATACCATCTACTAACCTCTTTTTTCATCATCTGTGACTACTTCTTCTTCACTTCTTATGGAAAAACTCTTCTTATTTTAAATGCCAGGGAAATTTTGCCTTCACATTTTCCTGGCTTTCTTAATAGCAAATCTTAATGGACTATATTAGGCAGAAAAAAAGGTTCCGGCATTAGATTCTAGTCCTAATCATCCACCTTGCGTTATCTTTTTCTAGCCAAGCAAATACATTTCACCAAACGCATCCAGAACATTGTGGTGCGAGAACATCAGTCAGCCACTTTTGAGTGTGAGGTGTCTTTCGACAATGCTATTGTAACATGGTATAAGGACACTTGGGAGCTTAAAGAGAGTCCCAAATATACCTTCCGAAGTGAAGGGCGACGCCACTTCATGATCATCCGCAATGTTACCTCTGCCGATGAAGGTTTGTGGAGTTCCAATGCGGGACCATTTTTCGTTTTAATAATATTAAATAAAAAGGCCCATTTAACCAAATGAATAATCCTTTAGGCGTGTACTCGGTCATTGTCAGATTGGAGCCCAGGGGTGAGGCTAAAAGTACAGCTGAGCTTTACCTGTCAGGCAAAGGTCGGTACAGCTGTCGAGCTCCAGCATTTACTTAACTAACATTCTCTAAAATATGAAGGCTCCTTACAGTTATTTTTTCTTTTTTCTCAGAAATTGATATAGAAAGGGTACCTTATGGTAAGTATGTGACATTTTTTTTTAACCTTTATAACACCTTTAGTGCATATTGACAGATTATTTCACACAGTTCATTAATTTATATAAGTAAGCTTAAAAATGTTAAATTACACTTACACAGACATCCCAGATACATCAATACAAGTGCCTGAAGCAGCTGCATTAACCATTGAAGGTGAGATTGAGAAATCTATGTAAAATGACTTCTGAAAATACATAAATCTCTATCCTCAAAATCAGTGATAGTTACTCATAAACGTATTATTTTTGATAAGCTGAATCTTCCATGGGATATTACCATTACGAAGAAAAAATGGAAACACAAGGTAAACTGCATAATTATGAGAATAATAAAACTGACATTTTCACCTCATCATTTTCATATAGTATCATTCACTAAAACTGACAAATATCACTTCACTATGAAAATCATTTAACTTCATCTGTTTTAACCATCAATCTGTTCAACAACACCAAAATAAATTTAAAAGAATAACACAGTTTTTTTAACAGTTTTGTTTTGTCTGTTTCCCAACATCTTGCGTGAAATAACCAAATAACGTCAATATTTAAAGTATTCGTCTTTGGACACATGTAACAACTTTTTACCCTTTACCAGAGTATGTGAGCTGGACAGCGGAGAGTGTTGTAGAGGAAATATCAGTAACAGGTATTACTGAGAGCTTTTGAGTCTACAAATATCATTTCTAACCCTCTTTCCATTTTTGTTTGCCCGCATAATGTATTTATATGTCTTGTATGTATTTGTGTTATTCATATTAATGTCTGTATCTCCCCTTGTTTTCACCCTGTCCTCACAATGTACTAGTAATGTACTGTATGTGTTGTTATGTGTTGTCATACATTTACCAGTCTGACTTTGTTTATATGTGTAGCTTTACCAACGTAAATATTTCTGAACAGATTTATGTTTTTTTTGTGTTTTCGTATGTTTCTCCAAAGCCAGTTGTTATTGTAATTATGGTGGTTATTCTAAGGACTTTCTTTGTTTCATCAGCCCCAAGGGTGCCAGTCGAAGAGGCTGTCAGTAGAAAAACCCTGGGAATGAGAGAGGTGGCTCCAACAACAGGTACTGAAAGAGAAAGAGCTTGCTGCTTTGCTACTTGTTGGCAAACATGCTTACATCATCCTCATGTCTGTCATTTTTATGTGTCTTATTGTAAAATTGTGTGTTTACTTTCACCTTAGTTGTGCCGTGTCATGTGTTATCAGTGTTGTGTGCTGTTAATGTTTGTGATATTTGCTTCTGTGGCAGCTGCAAATTAATGAACAATTTTGGTATAATAATAAGTTTTAAAATGAAATGTTGCACACAAATTTACATTTTACATTTCTGCTTTTTGAATTTTCTTAACTTCAGTAATGCTTTGATGCTATTCTGTATTGTGTGGATGTATCAGTTCGTCTATGTGTAAATGTCAGTGATATCTCCGTAATTCTTGTCCTGATGCTTATGCATGGTTGCTTTCAAAGCTGAAGCTACTAGTTTGATATTATAGAGTTAATTGTTCTTAATATTCTCAAAGAATTCGAGGAACCTGAGCCATCTAAACCAGTGGAGCTAGTCCCTGAAGTACCTGTGAAAGGTATGCAGATGTCTGTCCAATGTGCTCCCGTGCTGTGTCCATAAGTTGCTGTTTTAATCAATTTTTGTGTGTCTCTAGAGCTCTTTATAAACATTCTTTCTATTCTATCTGTGATGTTAATATTCTGTTGTAGTGTTATTTTTTTGTCTAATTGGATATTCTTACAGCATTTGTAATTCATTTTTACCCAAAAGCCAAAAAGCCTGTGGAAGAAATAGTTACTGCAGTTATATTGCCAGAGCCAATTGAACCCCCCACAGCAAAAGGTATGGAAAGAACACGTCATTATTTGCTGTTCTGTCCTGTTCTATGTGCATATACACCTTTTAAGCGAATCAAGTCCATTTTAAGTCATTTGTAAATGTAAATGTTTGTTTATATGTTATTGCAACAACTTTTTTGTGAACATATTGATTTTTTTTTGTCTTTTTGACTTTTAGATGTGACCCTCTTAATTCTGTTAATTGATGTTAAGTCTACGTGTTCTTATTGCATGCAACAGCAATTGTCAAATCTTGTGTCTGTTCTTTTTTATTTGTCTTGTTTTTCTCTGTTTGAGGTATGAGTTGAATTGTACCGCACTGTTATTTTCATTCATGCCTTAACTCTTCTGAAACTCTACAAATGTACTAATACCAAAAACATGTTATATGAAGAAGTGCCACAGCCAGCAGCACCTGTAGCTCCTGTGCCTTCTGCACCTGAGCCTGAAGAGCCTAAAGCTGCACCAGTAGCTGAGCCCAAACCAGAACCAAAGCCTAAGCCTGAGCCTACACCTGTGAAAAAACCTGAGCCACCCCCAGCCAAAGGTACTGTTAATTGCTTATACTTCATGTTGTGTAGGATTGTCTATGAGCTTTTCATATAACGTCTGTTGTTGCAATTGTCCAGCTTCCATCAGGAAGTGCACTGAATGTGACACTGTGTGTGTTATTTAATGTGTGCTTATGAAAATTAAACTGTAAACAATACAATGCATGTTCTTTGAAGTTCTTGTGGAGGAAAAGCCAAAACCAACAATTCAAGAACCACCAAAGAAAGTGCCAGCTAAACCCCATGAAGCCATAGCAGTTCCAGTGGAAGAACCGCCAAAGAAAGGTATAGACACTTTGATTCTGTTGTATGTGTGTTTCTTTATTAAGTAGCCACATTCTTATAAGGAACACATGACTTACAGTGGCTTTTGTTTATGTCAGTGTCTTTGTCCTGCAATATTGATTTTTTTTTTGTTGTATGTTGCATTGCTTACACGTTATTTTGTGTGGGTTTCTTGTCTACAAGTTTTCATATACCTGTATTTGTTGTGCGATTGTCCATCTTCCATTAAGAAGTGTGTTATATGTGATACTGTGTGTTCTTTCAGTTGTGCCTATGAAAATGAATCTTTAAACCATACGATGCATGTTCTTTAAAGTTCTTGTGGAGGAAAAGAAGCCAGAACCACCAAAGAAATTGCCAGCTAAACCTGATGAAGCCATTTCAGTTCCGGTGGAAGAACCTCCAAAGAAAGGTATAGACTCACCTTTTGATGTAGGGCTATTTTCTGTTGTATGTGTGTTTCTTTTTTAACTAGCCACACTCGTATTAGGAACACATGACTTAGAGTGGCTTTTATGTTAATGTCTTTGTCCTGCAATATTACTGTTTTTTTTGTACTCTCATTCTATTTATTATGTACTGTTCATTGTTTATGCTTTATTTGTGTGGGTTTCTTTTCTACAAGCTTTTTATATACCTGTCTTTGTTGTTTGTCCAGCTTCCATTAGGTAGCATGTTATATGTGACACTGTGCGTTCTTTGTTGTGTGTTGTGAAAATGAATCTTTAAACCATACAATGCATGCCCTTTAAAGTTCTTGTGGAGGAAAAGAAGCCAGAACCACCAAAGAAATCGCCAGCTAAACCTGATGAAGCCATTGCAGTTCCGGTGGAAGAACCTCCAAAGAAAGGTATAGACTCACATTTTGTATGTAAGGCTATTTTCTGTTGTATGTGTGTTTCTTTTTTAACTAGCCACACTCTTATTAGGAACACATGACGTGGCTTTTATGTCAATGTCTTTGTCCTGCAGTATTACTGTTGTACTCTTATTGTTATGTACTGTTAATTGCTTATGCTTTATATTGTGTGGGTTTCTTGTCTACAAGTTTTCATATACCTGTCTTTGTTGTCCAGCTTCCATTAAGAAGAGTGTTATATGTGATACTGTGTGTTCTTTCATGTGTGGCTATGGAAATGAACCTTTAAACCATACGATGCATGTTCTTTAAAGTTCTTGTGGAGGAAAAGAAACCAAAACCACCAATTCAAGAACCACCAAAGAAAATGCCAGCTAAACCTGATGAAGCAATTAAAGTTCCAGAGGCAGAACCTCCAAAGAAAGGTATAGACTCACTTTTTGTATGTAGGGCTACTTTCTGTTATATGTTTGTTTCTTCGTTAACTTGCCAAACTCTTCTGAGGAACACACGACCTTACTGTGGCTTTTGTTTATGTCATTTTGTTTGTCCTGCAATATTATTGGGTTTCAGTGTATGTTTATTATTGGGTATTGTTCATTGCTTATGTTTTATGTCATGTGGTTTTCTTGTTTAAGGGCTTTTCATATACCCATCTTTATTGTTGCAATTGTCTAGCTTCCATTAGGAAGCGTATTGTATGTGACACTGTGTGTTTTTGATGTGTGCTTATGAAAATGAATCTTTAAACAATACAATGCGTGTCCTTTAAAGTTCTTGTGGAGGAAAAGAAACCAAAACCACCAATTCAAGAACCACCAAAGAAAGTCCCATCTAAACCTGAGCAAGTGATTACAGTGGAAGAACCTCCAAAGAAAGGTATAGACATATACTAGGTTTTGTATGTAAGGCTGTTTTCTGTTGTATGTTTGTTTCTTTATTAACTAGCCACACTCTTATGAGGAACACGCGACTTACAGTGGGTTTTGTTTATGTTATTGTCTTTGTCCTGCATTATTATTGGGATTGGGTGTATTCTTATTGGTAGCTTCTACCATATCTTTTACATCCTATGTCTTGGTTTCTTATGTATCTTAAGTCTTATATATTTAAATTATATTTCACTCCTCTTCTCTCACTCTTAAAACAGTGCGATTTGAAGCATTGTTCTTAACTTTAATATTCTTTCTAAGTGCAAGAACCTTCCAAGAAGCCAGAGGCCCCTCCGTTTTTGCCTACACAGAGAGAAGACTTGATTGAGGAAATAGGTTATAAGAAACCAGATGCTGCTGTTCACAAATTAGAAGATAAAGAGAGCAAGGTGCCTCAGAAGCAAGAGACTGTTGCTGGTATCAAAAAGGAAGAAATTACAGACAAACTACCTACAAAAGAGACTGTTCCTATCCCTAAAAAGCAGGAAAAGCAAGAGGTACCCCTTCCTTCTAAAAAGGATGAGGCAATTGAACCTAAAAAGAAAGTGGTTCCTCTTCCTCCTAAAAAGGATGAAATTGTACCTCAAATGAAAGAGGTTCCTCTTCCTGCTAAACAAGTTGAGGAAATATTACCTAAAAAGAAAGATGTTCCTCCTTCTCCTAAAAAGGATGAAGTTGTACCTCAAAAGAAAGAGGTTCCTTTTCCTGCTAAACAGGATGAGGAAATATTATCTAAAAAGAAAGAGGTTCCTCTTCCCCCTAAAAAGGATGAGGCAATTGAACCGAAAAAGAAAGTGGTTCCTCTTCCTCCTAAAAAGGATGAGGCAATTGAACCTAAAAAGAAAGTGGTTCCTCTTCCTCCTAAAAAGGATGAAATTGTACCTCAAATGAAAGAGGTTCCTCTTCCTCCTAAAAAGGATGAAATTGTACCGCAAAAGACAGAGATTCCTAAAAAAGATGTGCCTCAAACTGTACCTCAAAAGAAAGAGGTACTTCCCACACAAATTTCAGAGAAGAAAGAAGAAAAAGACATTTTCTTCATGAAAGAAATTACACATCTACAGAAGGAAGTAATAGCTCCTGCACAAATTGTAGAGATGAAAGAAGAAATAGAAGAAATTTTCTTCAGAGAAGAAATTGCACAGAGGGAAGTATCCCTTAAATCAAAACTGGAAGAGAAAGAAGATATTTTACCTAAAAAGAAGGAAGTAGTTGCTCTCACTAAAAAAGAAGAGGTTGTAATGACTCAAAAGAAAGAAGTTCCTCTTCCTGCTAAAAAGGATGAAGAAATTGTACCCCAAAAGAAAGAGGTGACCCCTACAAAAGGTACAATGTTCTAGGACAACATCTGATTGTCCGTTCTTCTAATTCTTTACCTTCCTGTCTTAGAAATGACTTTCTTTGAACTTCTTTACTATTTTATTGAACAAATTTCTTTGTCTGTGTAGTCCCATATATGTTTGTCACTTGTCTCTTGTCCTTCTCTAGTTTGTTCTTATTCTTCTTCATTAACCTCTTACACTCGCTAGAGTGATCTCTTGATCTTATAGATGTGAATCTTACATATTTCATACTCTCTCAAGTTACTTTGGATTCAACAAAATCTACAACAGAAGAGCTACAAAGAAAGCCGGATACAATTCTTTTTCTACCAAAGAAATATGAGAAGACCGAAGGTACATAAATCAAACACAAATCTTTTTTTCTATTGAACATAATTTTGTCTTCATATTCTGTTACAATCCCATGAAGTATAATAAGTCCAGCAATACTTAATGTCTTTCAAGTGGGTGAAACCAAATCCCAAAAGGTCCAAACTGCTCAAACACAACAAATCACGTAGGGATAAGAGAAATCACACCCTGTTAAAAGTACAGTTTATGAAATCGCTGTGGGAGAATTTGTGTAAATTTCTTTAAAATATAATTGTTCTTAAATTAATCTTTCTTATAAAGAACTCAGAGTTGTTTCAAAGCCTGAGACAGTATTAATTTCTCCATATTCACCACTTACTTAAATTATTTCTCAGAAGAAATACACATGCAATTCAGACTGTTTAGTGTTAAGTGTACTCCTTTGGTATATTTAGATTTATGATTAGTCTATCTTACAAAAGAATTGTCTTTCTATTATCTATCAATCTCTTGGTTCAACTGTTGGGTACAAATTCTTCTTCACATTCAAAATCTTCAAGAATCCACTTCTGTCCTGAGGAAGGATGAAGTCACACCATCAGACAGTCAGAAAATTGCAATGAAGTCTCTTCTGATGGAAGAAACTTCAAAAGAGGACGACTCTCATCGAAAAGCTGTATCACAAACAGAAATACTGTATGACAGAAAACATGGCAAAGAAATTGATGATTTACAAATTTCAAAACTGGGGGGGGATTCTTCAAAAGAAAGTATATTGACTTCAGAAGAATTTAGGATGAGTGAAACATGTTCTGGTGATGAACCATCTAGACCACTTGTAATGACAGGTAAGATAAAAATAATATGCAGTGCTTAAATTATGATTTTAAAATTGTGACTATATGATCACTGAGAGTTTTAGAGGATTTGTACCTTTTGTAGTCTCTGTAATCAGATAACTGCAATTTCAAAATCATGAAACAAAAAGAGTTGTTTCAAAGACTGAGACAGTATTAATTCTTCCACATTCTACTTTTACAGAAGCTATTTTTAAACAACATTCTTTTGAAGTGCAAGAACCTTCCAAGAAGCCAGATGTTGTTCTGTCATTGGCTACAGAGAAAGGAGATTTAATTGAGGACATAGGTCATAAGAAACTAGTTGTTGTAGATGGTAAATTAGAAGGTAGAGAAGGCAAAATACCTCAAGAGAGAGAGACAGATGCTGGTCCCAAAAAAGAGGAAACATCAGACAGAATTCCTAAAAAAGTGACTATTGCCACCCCTAAAAAGAAGGATGAAATTGTACTTCAAATAGAAATGTTTGCTGTCTCTGCTAAACAGGATGAGGTTCCTCTTCCTCCCAGGACAGATGAAGAATTAGTGGTCCAAAAGAAAGAGGTTCATCTTCCCCATAAAAAGGAAGAGAAAAGTGCACTTCAAACGATAGAGGTTCCTCTTCTTGCTAAACAGGACGAGGAAATGTTACCTAAAAAGAAAGATTTTCCTCACAGAAAAGATGAGGAGATTGTATTTGAAAAGAAAGAGATTCTTCTTCCTCCCAGAGAGGTTGAGGAAATATTGTCTAAACATAAAGAGATTTCTGTTCCCCATAAAAAAGAAGAGGAAATTGCACTCAAAAAGAAAGAGGTTCCTCTTCATTCTAAACAGGATGAGGAAATTGTATTTAAAAAGAAAGAGGTGGTTCTTCCTCCCAGAATGGACAAGGGAATACTGCCTGAAAAGAAAGAAGTTGTTCTTTCTCCTAGAAAAGATGATGATATTGTATCTAAAAAGAAAGAGGTTCTTCTTCCTCATAGAAAGGATGAAGAAATTGCTCCTGAAAAGAAAGAGGTTATTTGTCCTCCCAGAATGAATGAGGAAATAATGTCCAAAGAGAAAGAGATTCCTCTTCCCTCTAAAATAGAAGAGGAAATTGTGTCTAAAAACAAAGTAGTTTGTCTTCTTCCCAGAAAAGATGAGGAAATTGTTGAGGGTTACCTCCCTTCTAAAAAAGATGAGGAATTTGTACTTAAAAAGAAAGAGGTTCCTCTTCTTCCTAAAAAGGATGAGGAAATTTTACTTCAAAAGAAAGAGGTTCCTTTACATTGTAAGGATGAGAAAATTTTAACTCAAAAGAAAGAGGTTCCTCTTCCTCCTAAAAAGTATGAGGAAACCATAACTCAAAATGAAGACATAGCTCCCTCACCCACAGCACAAGTAGTGGTTCCACTGAGAAGGAAGCAGGCTGTCAGTGCTCCTCAAACAGAAGAAACTATGCCTCAGAGGAAAGAGATAGCCCACACACAAATTTCAATGGAGAATGAAGAAAGTTCACTTAAAAGAAAAGAAGCTACTCCTCGTCTTGATAGGGCAGAAATTCCACACAAGACGGAAGTGTCCTACTTAATTAAACTGGAAGAGAAGGAAGATAATATGCCAAAACAGGAGGTTGTTACAATTCCTAAAACAGAGGAACTTGTGCACCAAAAGAAAAAGGTCATTTCCGAGCATAAACCACAGGGGAAAGATGATGCTCAGCCTAAAAAGAAGGAAATTGTTGCTGTCACTAAAAAAGCAGATGCTATAGTACCTCAAAAGAAAGAGGTTATTCTTCCATCTAAAAAGCTTGAAGAAATTGTTCCTCAAAAGAAAGAGGTGACCCCTACAAAAGGTATAATGATGTCAGACAACATCTGGTTGTCTATTTCTCTTATTCTAAAACTTGGTTTCTTAGAAATGATTTTCTTTGAGCATCAAATCTTTCAATCTTAGAGTGTTTATATGTGGTTTTGTGTATCAGTCTTCTTGCAATTACATCAAGTTGGATACTGCCAGAGGAGAATACTTTAATACCAAAAAAATAAAAAAAAATCAGGACAAATTTTTTTTCTGACTAACCTCTTCTTTGTCCTGTCTTGAAGTCATAATGTTACGACCCCTGATCATTTTCTCTGTTTTGTGTTAGAAACATTTTATATTATGTTTGTGGAGTCTAATGGTAAAATTACAAAAATTGTGTTTGAGGTTATAATGTACAATTTTATTTGTGATGTAAAGTAGCAGAGCTAGAGAAGAAACCATCTCCAGAGAAGACACCTGTTTCTGTGAAAGAAGTCACAGCCCCAAAAGGTAGAGAGTACTGTGGGGATTCTTCAACAAACTCTTTTGTCATACTAAATTTTATGTTTCAGTTTGTCATATTATGGTGGTCTCTTTTTGTTGTTAGTCCTGCTTTTGTCAAGTCAAATCTTTAATGTATATCTTGTTTTATTTCATATCTTGTTGTCAAAGGTTTATTATTTGTTCATATCTTCTGTCATAATAACACCTTAAAATGTTTAAATGTTACAGTTGAAAAGAAACATTCTCCAGAACCTGAAAGAAAGAAAGAACCTTTGCTAGAGACTGTTTCCCCAACAGGTACTTTTTTTGTTTGTGATATGTTTTGTCTAATAACAATACTTGTTTCTTTAGCACATCCTTACATCAATAGAGCCTTAACACACTGTACATTTGCTGTCATGTGTTTATGTTGTTCTGTATCATTTGTGTGTTGTGTGTCATTGTAACAAAATACTTTGCCAGAGACTGTTTCCCCAACAGGTACTTTTTTTGTTTGTGATATGTTTTGTCTAATAATAACAATACTTGTTTCTTTAGCACATCCTTACATCAATAGAGCCTTAACACACTGTACATTTGCTGTCATGTGTTTATGTTGTTCTGTATCATTTGTGTGTTGTGTGTCATTGTAACAAAATAGTCTTAATGATTAAAGGTTCATGCTTAGTGAACCACTCTTATTTAGAAAAGTAACTTTATTAGTAGTATTGTCACAATGTTGTGTTAAGCCTCTTAGAGGTGCAGAAAACATGTTCTGTCAAGTTCTGTCATTTCCACAGCAAATATCTTCCAAACATATTTTCTTCCAATAATTCCTTAAAATATAATGTGTATCATTTCATATATTGTTTGTCATGCATGTAATATCTGTGTATCTGTTTCTTAACCTCGATAGAGGTTTAAAAGGTTTTATTCTTTCATTACATTGTTATCTTCAATATCTTTCAACTTGAATTGATGTCAAACAACACACTCTATTTTAAGTTAAAGAGGTCGATAAGAAAGCTGAAGATAAACTCATCTCTAAGCCCAAGGAAGAGAAGATAATTCCAACAAAAGGTATTATGGTAACCACAAGTCTGCATCCGTGTACTGTGCTGAAAAGGAATGTCTAGTTTTGAAATCTCATCACATCTTTGAAATTCCTTTTTGAAGTACCTACACCTAAAGAACCAGAGAAGCTAAAGCCTGCTCCAAAGGAAGAACCGGTACCAATTGTCCAAACCGTGGAAGGTACTGAAACTGAAACTCTTCTTCATACTCCCACTGTTTATAAAATATCTTTGGGTAATTATCTTTATTGAAAAAAATGTTGTTAATAACAGGTAGGTCATAATTTCTTAATGTGTTTTCTTAATCTTTTTCCTAAACTTTTTCTTAACTTTAGTAAGATGTGTGGTAATGTCTGTCATGTTGTCTTGTATGTGCTTCTGATATGTGTAAGCTATTAAGTGATCCTCGCAGCATCCCCCATTTCACTTAATGAAAAGACGTGTCTTATTTATCTTTCAGCAGTTTAACTCACAGACAGTTACTCAAAAAAGACAATAAAATATGTATACCAAAACAGATTCACATTACAAAAAAAAACATGCCCCCAAAGCTTTTTCTGCACATTTCCAATATTTCATTTCGACACATTTCTTTGCACTACATAACAAACTTGTTATTGTGAATTATTTTAACTTTTTGTGACAACTTTTCTAAATCAGATGGTGAAAAGGAACCAGTTTCTGCACCTGCTCCAGGAAAGAAAGGTAAAAAAAAAAAAGAGATTCTTAAAACTTAAAATCTTTTCTCACAGATTGCAGAGCCATTTCAGATTATATGTTCTCTTCAGTTGTGTTATATGATATTTTTTGGAATTTTGTTATGTGTATTGAAATATATTAAATGTTGTTAGTACCATCTTGTTAGTTTGTCTGTTATTGATTGTGTCCTTTAGTCTTTTGTTATGTTTTGTCTTGAAATAGTTTGTTGGCAATGTCAGTGTGTTAAATGTGCTGTGTTTATGGTTGTTTTTTATGTATCGTTCGCTTTATAATGGCATACATTTCCAAATCTAAAGGAAAAGTTCTTAAAGTGAAGCAAGAAGAGGGACGATTTGAAATTCCCACCTTAAAGAAACCTACAAGAGTTTCTAAAGATAAAGACAAAGATCAGGAAATGGTAAAACTGAAGAAAGTGCTCAAACCACAAGAGGAGGAATATAAAGAGAGTCCCAAAGTGTATGCTGAGGCGCATACTGAAGTTATGATAACTGAAAGTTATGAGGCAGAAATGCATTTTGAGACTTATGAAGTGACTAAGAGAGTTGAGAAAATCCAACCTGAGGTAGACAAAAAGATGCCTGATGAACCTGAGCAAGCACCACCTCAAATAAAACCAGAAACCGAATTAGAAGAAAAAGCGAAAAAGACACCAATTGGAAAGGTTCCAAAAAAAGATACACCAGAGGAGCCTGGCTTAGCTCTGAAAAAGGTTAAAAAGTTACCAGTAGAAACAAAAGAACAAGAATCTGTCAAATTAAAGCCATTTGAGAAAACTGTAAAACCGCCAAGTGAAACCGAAAAAGACACCAAAAAAGAAGAAAAAGGAAGAGAACCTATAACTTTTGACAGAAGTAGGGAACCAGTTACTTTTCAGAAAGGAGACCGACCTGAAAAGGATGAGAAGCCAAAAGAACCCGATATCCTCACGAAAAAAGAAGTGCCCTCCGTTCCTGACAAAAAGGTGCCTGATGAAGTTGCTGTTAAACCTGTAACCAGACCTCCCAAAGAGGAAGCACCTACAGAGCCTGAAGAGAAATTATTTAAAGGTAAAGGTAAAATTCCATCTAAAGATCAGGAGCCTGATGTGGTTCAACTAAAATCAATTCCGAAGAAACCTTCAGCTGGATCACCAAAAGAAAAGGAGGTTCCAGAGCCAAAAGAACGAAAACCAATTGAGTTGTCACCACTTACTAGGCCACCAAAAGATGAAGTTAAAACAGAACCAAGTATTCCACCAAAAAGAGTTGACAGTCAAGAAACTCCAGATAAAGGTAAAGAGGTTGAGAAGATACCAACTATTGTACCAGTAGAAGACAAAAAGGCACCGCTTAAAAAGGTTACGCCGGTAAAGAAGGAGCTTACACCAAAGGAGGCTGAGAAGAAGCCAATAGTCACCAAAAAGGGTATTTTACCCAAAGAGGCTGAGAAGAAAGAAGATATAATTCTAAAACCAGCTGAGCGTGCAAAGAGTGCAGTAGAGCCTGAAAAGATTCCTTCGCCTAAGGTTGAGAAACCAAAACCAACTGAACCAGTCTCAGTGGAGAGGAAGCCTAGTGAGGATTTAGCAAAGAAGCCAAAGAAAGTTTCACCCAAAGACTCGATTGAAGCTGTTATTTTGAAGAAAGTACCTCAGAAGGTTTCACCTAAGGAGGACAAATCTGAAGAAACTCCTCAGATCCCTGAAAAAGAGGAGATTCCAGTCAAAAAGGAACTGTCTCCTGGAGCTGTAGAGTTAAGAAAAGTGTCAACTCAGTTTGAAGAAGAACTGTTTGAAGAAGAGGTTGAGGTTGAATTTGAAGCGGAATATGAAGATGAAGAAGAAGCATGGGGATGGGAGGTTGCTTCTCGAGAGAGTTATGGCTCAGAAGGCTCTGAAGAAAGGTATTTGGAGGAAGGGGCGCTTGAGACTCCTGGGATGCCAGGGGGTAGACGAGGTGAGAGGGTGGCTGTGAACTACACCAAAGAATGCCTCAGTTTCCGTGCTATGGAATCCATCTCCCTGTTGTTATTTATTTTCACCCCAGATAATTTCCATGTCTACATCCATGTCCATCCACATAAACTGCTAAATCTTGTCTGCCTCCTTCTTCATCTTCTTCAATCTTCATTGTGGCATGTGTGTTGTATTTTAATGTCTTTTCATATTGTTTGTTGTTTATCTGTGTGTCTTCACTGATCTACGGAATATAACCACTGGTGGAAAGAATGGTCATTGCGTTGGGATTGTAATTTGTCATCTAACTTCTCATTAATTGGCAGCATGATTCTGTCATCTTCATGACTCTTCATTCCCATGTTTAATATTTACCTTTTGTCTCTAAGTGTTTTTTTCAGTACTGGACATTTTAATTTAACTTAAAATATATTTTCCATTTCCGTGAATTGGAAATAATTGATTTTTGTTTGTTCAGAGGGAAAGCCTAAAGAGGAAGCTGGAAGAGGCAGAGGCTTAAGACGTAAGTTTATTTATTAAATAATTTTGATGATTTTTTTTTCCCTCAGCCATTTTAAGCATTGCTTTATACATTAGTCATGACAGCTCAACAACAGATATATGTATATCAGTATGTAATGTGCTTACTATTTGCAGAAGTAGTAGTTCCATTTAAACCTCTTTTTGCATTACAGCAAGACAAACTCCATCTCCTGGTGATGCTGGAAGGGGTAGAGGGCTGAAGCCTGGTGTTGGTGGTGATAAGCCTCCAGGAGAATCACCATTTGGTGCCCAGCTCAAAGCCGTCCCCTTGAAGTTTGTGAAGGAGCTCAAAGATATTGTGTTGCAGGAGGCTGAGTCCATTGGCTCCTCTGCTGTATTTGAGTGCCAGATCTCTCCATCTACTGCTATCACCACCTGGATGAAAGATGGAAGCAATCTAAGGGAGAGTCCAAAGCACAAATTCACATCTGATGGCAAAGACCGCAAACTGGCCATCATTGATGTACAGCTTTCAGACACTGGGGAGTACACATGTGTTGCAAAGCTTGGCAACAAGGAGAAGACCTCAACAGCTAAACTTATTGTTGAAGGTAGTGCATTGATTATGAGTAAAAACTGTGAATATACAAGCTTAGTCTTATACGAATATATATTCAAAAAATACTACCCAATGAATTGAGATGTTCTTCTGTTTGTTTTTTCATTTTCATAGAGTTACCAGTGAAGTTCACAAAGAATCTGGAGGAGGAAATGTCTGTGATTAAGGGACAGCCAATGTACTTAACCTGCGAGTTGAGCAAAGACAGGGATGTTGTCTGGAAGAAGGACGGAAAAGAGCTCAAGCAAATTGCTGGCAAAATTCAAATCAGTGTTATTGGATTGCAGCGCTCTGTGACAATCCAAGACACAAATGACGATGATGCCGGTGTTTACACTTGCGAGTGCGAGGACATCAAGACACAAGCCAATGTCAAAGTCATTGGTATGCATATGGAAAACTTTATGGTTATTTATGTTAGTTCTTTACCAAAACATAACTAAACTAAATATCTACCTTCGCAGAAATAATCAGAGATTGGTTAACAAAACCTTTGAGGGACCAGCATGTGAAACCAAAGGCTACTGCCACATTCAAGTGCGAACTGTACAAGGATACTCCTAACTGGAAGTGGTTCAAGGGAGATGAAGAAATTCCCACTGACCCTACAAATAAGACTGAGCTGAAAAAGGATGGAAAAGATATCACGCTTACAATCAAGAATGCGCAACCTGGTGATGTTGGAGAATATGCCATAGAAGTTGAGGGCCGCAGATATGCAGCAAAACTCACTCTTGGAGGTGTGTTAGGCAGCCTTAGCATTTATTACCTTACTGCAAAAGGTTGTTTTTGTATTTCCCTAAATACTCTTTTTGTCTTTCATAAATATAGAGCGTGAAGCTGAGATCTTGAAGCCTCTTGCTAGTGTGGAGGTGGTTGAGAAAGAGGAGGCCAGCTTTGATACTGAAATTTCAGAAGATGATGTGCCTGGAGAATGGAAACTTAGAGGGCAGGTTCTGACAAGATCACCGGTAAGATTGTATATAGTTGAAAAAATGCATTATTTTATATAGGCTATTTTACATAATTTTTTATTTTTTTTTTATTCCCAGACGTGTGATATCAGAGCTGAAGGAAATAAGAGATCCCTTACATTGAAAAATGTTCAACTTGACCAGGCTGGAGAAGTCTCTTACCAAGCTTTGAATGCTATCACTACTGCAATGTTAACGGTCAAAGGTATGTCGTTGATGAGCAAAAAATGCATGCTGAAACAAGAAATGCAGTATTTATAAGCTAAATAGGGTGAAAAATAACTTGTGATAACTTGTGTTATTCACACCCATAGAGATTGAAATGGACTTCACAGTCCCATTGAAGGATGTTACTGTGCATGAAAAGAAACAGGCAAAGTTTGAATGCACGATCACAAAAGATGTGCCTAAAGTCATGTGGTTGAGAGGATCTGATATTATAACACCAGACCAAAAATATGATATCATTGATGATGGAAAGAAACACATGTTGGTCATAAACCACTGTGAATTTGAGGATGAGGGAGAATATACTATTGAGGCGTTGGGTAAAACATCAACAGCCAAACTGACAGTTGAGGGTAAGTTTTCAAGCCATGTTTCAGTCGTCATGGGGTCCTTTGAAAAATGTGTTTTGTTCACAAAATCACCAAGCTAAAATGATTTTGCAATGGACTAACACATTATAGGTTTGCGGCTGAAATTCATCTCACCGATATCGGATCAAACTGTTAAGGAAGGTAAAACAGCTCGGTTTGAGCTTGAACTGTCCCATGACAATGTACCAGTGACATGGTACAAAAATGAAACAAAACTGCATCCGAGCAGAACTGTACTTACGCATGTTGATGGAAAGAAACATATATTAGAAATCAAGAATGCCACTCTAGATGATACTTGCCAAATAAAAGCAGAGGCTAAAGGATTATCAACAACAGCAAACCTGACGGTGCTAGGTAACTTATTATTATTATTATTATTATTATTATTATTATTTTGATGATAATGATGGTGGTAGTGGTGGTGGTAAGATAAGTGGTCCTGAAATCTGTAATCTAGTGAACGTTTGTTGGTATACAAGCTGTTTTATCTCACAAACTGTACATTATAGGTTTGCTAAACTTAATTTTTTTTACATTTCAATATAGAGGGAGATGCCTACTTCACAGTTAAACTGCAAGATTACACTGCAGTTGAGAAAGACGAGGTCAATCTTGACTGCGAGCTCAGCAAAGATGTTCCTGTGAAGTGGTTCCACAATGAGACTGAAATTAAAGCCTCCAAGATGGTTACCATGAAAGCTGATGGCAAACGAAGAATCCTGAACATCAAGAAAGTTGAGGAAAAAGAAAAAGGATTATATGTTTGTGACTGTGGAACAGACAAGACTTCGGCCACGATGAACATTGAAGGTCAGTGATCAAGGTTATGCCCATGGAATGTAAATGCATATTTTTTTTTCCAGAGTGCCCTACACACCTGCACGCAATCTTTCAGCAGTTACAGGTTTAAATAATTAATTCAGGGTTTAATTAATTTCAGCTCGTGACATCAAAGTGGTGCGACCAATGTATGGTGTTGAGCTGTTCGATGGTGAGACAGCTCGTTTTGAGGTGGAAATTTCTGAAGATGATGTCCATGGCCAGTGGAAGCTGCAAGGAGAAATCCTCTCCTCATCACCTGTAAGGCTACTAAAACTATTTGAAATGGTTACAAATGTAACTTTTGTATGAATGGCATAACTGTATTTTTGTCTTTGTGGCAACAGGATGTTGAAATCATTGAGGATGGCGCAAAGCACATCTTAACTTTGTACAACTGTAAAGTGTCCCAGTCTGGAGAGGTTTCATTCCAGGGTGCCAATGCAAAATGCTCTGCCAATCTAAAAGTGAAAGGTATTTTATGACTAAATTTTACTTTAAATCCACTGTTTGATTCTAGAGATTCTGAGTGATCTTAAACCCTTTTTGGCGACTGACCACTTCCTCGTCTGAATAAAAGTGTGGAATAACTGACTACTCACTTGTGGGGGAAACTAGCTTAAAGCAATTAGACTCTATATATATATTAAGTATTTTATGTTATTTGAGTTGGTGGATTGTTTGTGTATTATTTAAAAGGGATGTTCTTTATGTATTTTTGCAGAGCTTCCCATTACTTTTGTAACACCTCTGGCTGATGTGCATGTATATGAGAAAGATGATGCAAGGTTTGAGTGTGAGATCTCAAGACAACCAAAGAGCTTCCGTTGGTTGAAAGGATCTCAGGAGATTACAACTGATGATAAATTTGAGGTACTTCAGGAAGGCAAAAGACACATTCTGGTAGTCAGATCTGCTGCCTATGAGGATGAAGCTAAGTATATGTTTGAGGCTGAGGACAAGAGAACATCTGCCAAACTTGTTATCCAGGGTAAGGGGGAGAAAATAAATACATTATTTTAAAAATATGTTTGTTTCGTAAACTTTTAAATACAACTTCTGCCAGATTGAATCATGTGCTTGCATTTTTCCCCAGGCATCCGTCTTGAGTTTGTCAGACCCATTAAAGATGTCACTGTTAAAGAGCGTGAGACTGCAGAATTCAGCATCGAACTCTCTCATGAAAAGGTTCAAGTCACCTGGTACAAGAATGACGTGCGTTTGCATCCAAGTAAAGTGGTACACATGTCAGAGGATGGCAAAACCCATACTCTGTCCTTCAAAGAGGTGTCTATTGATGACACTTCTCTAATTAAAGCTGAGGCCCTTGGGAAAACCTGTGAGGCAATGCTCACTGTACTTGGTAGGTGTTTAAATATTTTGTAGACACACTTAAAGGATCATACAGATAAATATTGAATACTGAATTGTACTGATAAATATTGAATTAAACTTAAATCCCTCTTGTTTATCAACAGAGGGAGAACCTTACTTTACTACCAAGTTGCAGGACTACACTGCAGTTGAGAAGGATGAGGTTGTCCTGATGTGTGAAGTGAGCAAATCATCTGCTCAGGTGAAATGGTTCAAAGACGGCAAGGAGATCACTCCCTCTAAGAACGTCCTCATCAAGGCTGATGGAAAGAAACTTATCTTGACAGTGAAGAAGGCAGAGAAGGCCAACATTGGTGAATATGTATGTGACTGCGGCTCTGACAAAACAGCAGCCAAGCTTAACATTGAAGGTATGTATTTTTTATTTATTTTATGTTTGTTTTATTAATCCATATATCGATTAATAGATTAAAATTGATAAAATTACTATGAACTCGTATAACTTTGCCTCTCCTCTCATGTTCTTTGCAGAGCGCGATATTAAGATTGTCCGTCCACTGTACAGTGTGGAGGTCACAGAGACCGAGACTGCTCGCTTTGAGACAGAAATCTCTGAGGAGGATGTTCATGGTAACTGGAAACTCAAAGGAGATGCCCTGCACCAGTCACCGGTAATTTATGTTGCTCCTAAACACCAAATATAACTTACAGATGCTTTTTGAACATTTTAATGTTTATCAAATTTAAAATAAGATACAACATTTTTTTGAATTGTATTAAATGAATAGTTCACATAATAAATGCTAATTCTGTCATCATGACATAAAAACAGAAATTTTGGATAAAAAAAAAAAAAAAAAAAAAATATATAATATATATATATATATCATTGAAGTAGTAAGTAGTAATTGTGCACTATGTGTGACAAAAAGCTTGAAATTTAAACTAAAAAATAGAGTCATTTGTGGCTTAGAACGGTTACATTTGGGGTGAACTGTTCCTTTAAGAGCTTACTATTGTGCTAAATTGTGCAATTTTTTTCAGAATTACTGTTAATAGTTCTCTGTGCTGACATGTTCTCATATTTTCATATCATATTTTTAATTTCATTTATTAGGACTGTGAAATTAAGGAGGAAGGCATGAAGCACATGCTTATCCTTTACAATGTTCGCATGGATATGGCTGGTGGTGTGGACTTCAGTGCTGCTAATGCTAAATCAAGTGCTCAGCTCAGAGTTAAAGGTGAGAATGATGAATAGGATGCCTTCTTGCATATTTTGGACAAGCCAGAGAAATGATATCTCTGTGAACATACCAGAAACAATTAGTATTGTGTAACAAAGGCAGCTGATATGTGTTGCTTTGAAACAAAGTGTGTGAACTAAAGGCAATTAAATTAGTCACTGCAGTTTATGATTAGCTCATAAATTATTCTGACAGATGCCATGTAGTGATAACAGGGTGTGAAAAGTATTTATTATGGCAGGGATTAATGTGTTAGAGACAGGTTTGGCAGCCAATCAAATTTTTTTTTTACATTTTTTTTTAGCTTTTTAATATTCTTGCTTTAGAAACAAGCAGAGACACTATTATGACATGCAACCCTCAACCATGATGTGGGATTTTTTTTTTTTCAGTTTATAAATTAAGTAACACTTAAGTAACATTCTCCTTTTCCTGGAGAAGTCCAGCAGGTTGATTGACAGTAACAGATTTCCTAGCAGGATGTCATAACAGGGGTGGGCTAGTGGCCAATCAGATGTTGCGGTTATTTTAGAAGCTGCATTCCATATGTAGAGAGTCTCTGTCAGTGATTGGCAGAGGCTTAACAGACCTACCTCCAAATTTCTTTTCTGACCATATACATCTTAAGGAAACGCAATATGCAAATGAAGTAGGCCCCCAACACAAGTCCCTGTCTTGCTGGATTCCACTTGTCCTGGAGGCTTACGAGCTCCAGAGCAGTGGCCTGTTGTCAGCGGGAAAGCGCTATGAGAATTTGTAGTTAAAGGATTACCAGTGTCTCTTGGGTCTTGGAGGTGACTAATAATGTCTTCTCCTGAATCCAAAGCACGAGTGATAGGCCTCTTGAGGTCTCTCAAGGATGTAACAGTGACAGCGGGAGAGACAGCAACCTTTGACTGCGAACTGTCTTATGAGGGCATACCTGTGGAATGGTTCCTAGGGGGTACAAAGCTGGAACCAAGTGACAGAGTAAGTGTGCATGTTGTCCTGTGTAAATTTAAAATGTCATTTGTGGTTTCTGGGAAATTTATAAAGAATTAACTGTTGGTGTCACTATTTTGTATACACTAATTGAATCATTAATGAATTTAGATGATCACTAAACTGTTGTAAAATGTGGTAAACTGTTTTTTAACATCTAGGATTACACTAAACAACTATTTAGCTTTTTTCTACATATTGAATGCTAGTTCTTTACATCTGTCAGTTAAATGCTTTCCTCATATAAGGACCTGGGGATCAGGATACCAGTTGAGCATTTGATCTGGGTTTTAAGATAACACACAGGGCTATTCTGCTCTGCAAGCGTTCCTCTGGTTATTTTTAACTGCTTCAAGACTCTATGTGCAATGGCAGGTGGCAAGAGGCCTTTTTTACAGACATAGCTTGTATTTACACGTAGCTATATATGTATGTATTTATTTATTTATGCATTTTGTTAGAAGCATTTAAATGTGTTTGTCATATAATTTGCAGTGTGTGCGAGTTAGGCCTTCAGTCATGGCTTTGGATTTTATGTATTTTACATGATACTTTTATTAAACTGAGTGCCGTGTAGCAAATGGGTTTAGTAAAAGGTCACACATTTTGGTGACAACAGCTGTTCAAGTTCTGTTTGTATTCCTGATATGTTTGTGTGAGGACTTGATTCTTCGAACAGAGATTACAAACAAGTTGAAACAAGCACTAATGAACCATAATTCTAACAGTTTTGATTATTTTTGGACAGATTTTTTTTTTTTTGCTAGCTTCTGCATTATATTCAGGAACATGTTCAATGTTGGGTTTACAGATATACATAGATTTCATTTTATTGATTATTATTATTATTATATAAAGACATTATAATGTTGTTTAACAACATGACATTTCTCATTCATAAGTGAATTTTTTTTGGAAATGGAACTGAAAAATTAAAACAAAAAAAAAATCATGTTATGTTAATTTGTAATTTTTTCAGCCTGTTTTATTTTTATTTTTATTTTGATTGATGATTTAAGGACGATATTAATTGTAAGCAAATCATATACAACTGTTTTCAATCTGTTCATATAGCTTTATTTGTTACACAAGTTACACAAGCCAAATGAGTCTAAACTGGCTTCCAGGGCCCTAGTTGGGACAGAAGAAGCAGAGGTGTGAAAATGAGAACAGTTCCTAGTGCTCAGCTGTTGATGTCTATTGCAGAGGGGCAGTAAATAGCCTCCCCCACCCTTGACATGGCAAGTGTGCTTGATTTATCAATTGGTTTGAATTGCACAGGTGGTGCACCGTTCAGAAGGCAGAACTCACACGCTGACCCTTAGGGATGTGAAACTGACAGAGGCAGGAGAAGTAAAACTCACTGCAAAGGACTTCGTGACACAGGCTCAACTCATTGTAAATGGTGGGTGCCATTTGTTCACAAATGCAGATTTAATTTAATTGCTAACAAGCATCCCTCATAAAATTAATCTGCCTAAAACATGCTCACATTGAGGTGAGAATATCAACCATTCTAGTGTTGTAATTGTATTGGTGCTGGTAATTATTAGTGCTCTTATTGGAGCTCAGGTGATTGTCAAAAACATTTTAAATGTCTGTGCTAAGAAATTGATATTTACTGTTTAAAAGAAAAACATTATATAATTAGTCTGTCTTCAAATATCATCATAGGAAATTATAATATTGTTAAAAAGTGAATTGCAATAAAACAAATACATTTATTGCACAGAACCTCCAGTTGAATTCACCAAACCTCTGGAGGACCAGACTGTAGAAGAGGAAGCCACCGCTGAACTAGAGTGTGAAGTCTCCAAAGAGAAAGCAGAGGTCAGGTGGTTTAGAGATGGACAAGAAATTCGCAAAACCAAGAAATATGACATGGTTGCTGATGGCCGTAAAAGAAAACTTCTTATCCATGACTGCACACTTGATGACTCAAGGACATATACCTGTGATGCTAAACAATTCAAGACTTCAGCCTTCTTAAATGTTGAACGTAAGTCAACCAGAATGAAAAGGCAAAAGCTAAGAATTTAAATAGTACTTGCAATGAAAAAATAAAAGACTGAATATGATTGCCTTTTGATCTTCAGCTCCACATGTTGAGTTCACAAAGCCACTCCATGATGTTGAGGTCAAAGAGAAGGAATCTGCCAGATTTGAATGTGAAGTGTCTCGTGAAAGTGCTAAGGTTTGTTGTCTACCATTCAGTTAATCTTTTTTTAATTGACATTTAAATTTATATCTATATAATTCATAGGTTAGATGTTAGACATTAGACATGTTGTGTAATTGTCTGACTTTTTGAAAATGATCACTGTGAGTTTATTCATCAACATATTCCATTGTTCCCTTTGAATAGGTTCGCTGGTTCAAAGATGGTAATGAAATCAGAAAAGGCAAGAAATATGAGATCATTTCTGAAGGAGTAAAACGTATTCTCATCATAAGCAAGTCTGTCTTTGATGACGAAGCAGAATATGAATGTGATGCCAGGACTTCCAAAACCTCTGGAATGCTGACTGTCATTGGTAAATTATTCTGTTCATTTTTAGTCTAAACAGGCTTCAACAACTTGCTTTGAACAGTATACTGATTTGCATGACTTTTTCTGACCACAGAGGAGGAGACTAGATTCACAAAGAACTTGGCTAATGTTGAAGGCACTGAAACCGACAGTGTTAAACTGATATGTGAAGTCTCCAAACCCAGTGCAGAGGTTACATGGTACAAGGGTGACCAAGAGTTGCCTGAAGTTGGTAGATATGAGCATATTGCAGATGGCAAAAAGAGAATCCTAATTATTAAGGGCCTTCGTATGGATGATGCCGGAGAGTACCACTGCAAACTGCCCACCTCACAAACCACAGGGAACCTAAGGATTAATGGTGAGACTGTCTTGTCCTTGAAATTTTACTTCATACTTTGTATTTCATACCTTGTTTATATAAACTTGCTCCATGCTTGTGATTGACCTAATACTGTAACTATTTTTTTTTTTACTTTAGAACTTGCCGCTGAGTTTATTGCAAGGCCTCAAAACCAGGAGGTGGTTGAAGGTGAAAAGGCAGAATTTGTGTGCTCTGTCTCCAAAGACACATATGAAGTGAAATGGCTCAAAGGAGATACGGAACTTCAATCAGATGACAAATATGACATAATTTCTGAGGGCAAAAAGAGAGTTCTTGTTGTCAAAAATTGTGAACTCAAGGATGAAGGTGGCTTTGTAGTCCTCATTGGAACCACAAGAGCCTCAGCTGATCTGATTGTGCTAGGTATGTATATTATGTTTTTGTGTATATTTTTGAAAAATTATGATATAAATATGAAAATTTGATGATTTTTCTTTCTTTTTCTTGTTTTACAGAAAAGCTTAGGATTATCACTCCTCTAAGAGACATAAAGGCAAATGAAGGACAAGAGACTGTCCTCAATTGTGAAGTTAACACTGAGGGGGCCAAAGCCAAATGGCTGAAGAATAATGAGACTTTATTTGAAAGTAGCAAGTTCATCATGGTCCAGAAGGACAATGTATTCTCTCTGAGGATCAAAGACACTCAAAAATCAGATGAGGCCAACTACACCGTTACACTGACCAACCAACGTGGTGAACACGCAAAGAGCTCTTCCAACATTACTGTGCAAGGTATGACACGCACTGATATGCTTTATTTTTTACAGCAATTCTTGCAAGAAAATAGTTATATATATAACTATGTATGTATATATATATATCTCAAAGCAAGTGTGTTTATATAAAAGGGAATCTCTCGTGAACCGTCTGCCATGAAAGTGAACATGAATTTCCTATTGAGTGGGCATTTAGTGGACCGTTTGTATTAGTTTAACAGTAAATAAAATAAAAAAACCCTTTTAAAGATTATACAGTGACGCCTATGGAAATGAGTATTATGTTTATGAATGTATGACCACAAATATTTACGTATACATGCTTACAAACATTTGCTTATATTGTAACCGGTTGACCAGACCGAAATTTCTTTCACTATTTCTGTTATACTTTGGAAAAATATTTATGTTTGTACCCATGAAGGAGTGTTGTTTGTTTGTTATTGTGTTAACCCCTTAACTGTCACCCCCCATTTTTTAAAATAGGCATGAAAGTGCACTATCCAAACTTAAATTGTTGTAATTTATGAACACTTTGGAATACAGACCTAAGGTTGGTCTCTTTTTAAAGAAGAAAAGATTATTGCAAAAGTGGAATTTTTTCAAAAAAATTAAAGTATCAAAAAGTTATAGAAGTTTAAATTTACTGTAAAGAAAATGCACTATACTCATTTTATTTTATTTTATATATAATAAATATTTTACATAATAGGTTTTACTCTAAAATTGGTATAAAATTAAAGCCTTATGTAAGTTATGTTCCAAATTTGAAGTTGATATGACAAAAATTGAGGATCCTGTGAGATTTTATTTAGGGCGTTATACCACAAACAGCCACCGGGTGCCAACCAAACTCCATTAAAAGTTG